AAAAAAAAAGGTAAAGGGGAGGAGAGAGTTGAAGGGGGTAGGGGCATATCCTTTCTCCGTAACGACAGCGACCCTCAGACGTGCCCCCATGAGAGTAGATGAGCTGACTCGCTTAGGGCCCTTTCTGTCTGCAAGGCTCTGTGATTGATCCTTCTGCACCCTCATCCACCAACAACAGATTACCATTGCCCCCTACCTGCAACAGGATCCAAAGGAAAGAAGGACTCAACCTGGCATGAAAAGCTACTTCTTTTGGAGTTTATTCAACATGTATTTATGGAGGGCCTACTGAGTGCCAGGGCACTGTTGCTGGGCATTGCCATAGGGATGATGAAACAGAACTAGAGGAGATGGGTAAAGGGATGAAAAATCAGGCCTTTTGACTTCAAGCTGAGTACTTTTTCTTCCCACAAATCTTGAGATATACAGGAATCATGTGACCATGAGGGTACATCCTGAGAACATTCCTTACGACTTTCCTTAGATATGTGAAGTGAAAAATAATCCTATGGACCAGGAAGAACAGGACTTCCACAAAAAACTTTCTTTTCTCCCAAGCAAGAATATAGGCTCGTAATCCAAAACCAGAGGGGCCAGATGTATTTCAGGATTTCGAGTGACACTCCCAGCAGGGAGTGGGGCAGTACCCGGTAACCAAACATATTGATATTTCAGCAGCAAAGTGTATGAATATTCATAACGTGGATACATTTATGAATATTCATAGTAAGTCAGACGAATGGCCTCACTTTGGATTACGTTTTGCCGCCAAATTTGTTTTTTAAAAAGTCTGGTTTTTAGAGCTTTGTGAATTTCCAGTAATGGACTGCAGGCCTGAATGATAGTGGCCAACATCTATTGAGAGCTAAAACTTTGTTGTTTAGCTGACATTTATTGAGTGCTTAATATGTGTCAGGCACTTTGTCTTTATTCCTTTCAACAACCCTATGAAGTAAGTACTATTATTAGTCGGTTCTGACAGATGGAAAAACAGAGGCTTTACAGAGATTCTGTCAATTACAAGGGGGTCACACTGAGAGCAAGTGGCAGAATTAGGGCTGTAAGCCAAATCTGTCTGACTCCAGAGAACAAGACCTAGCCACTATGTGATACTGTCACTGCTGGAAGGTTCCCACACTTGTTGTTTACCTTGTACCGATTAATGGTCCTTCAGTACCTGTTGCCCCTAGCTCCCCAACACACAAACACACTCTATTCCTACCCTTGGGTCTCTAGACCAGGTGTTATCTGTGACTCCAGCACCGGGTTTGGCACAGTTTAGGCATTTAACATGAAGTGAAATGAGTCAATACAACACTTTATGCAGATTACTTGTTTTGGTGTGGTGTTTTATCAGTATAATAAAGATGCCAGAATAGCTATGAAAGGATGCACAAGAAATCCTTAATGGGTGCCTTTGGGTGGTTGGGTTGCTGACGAGGTAGGACAAAAGTATCTTTTGAGTGCATTTTGAATGTTGTGTGGTCATCTATTGCTTGTTCCAACTTTATGTTTTATTCAGGTTAAAAGGATTCAAGAATTTTGCTTGGATATTTATTTAGTAAGGTGGTCAAAAGTCAAATTGCTGGATAACCTCACACAAAGAAAAACAATTCCATGGCGCTTCCATTGCTACAGTCTATGAGGCTCAAGGAGGGCTTGTGGGGTGAGAGGATTCCTCAATTTATCTCCACCTCCCTAGCGTATTCTTCTTTCCTTTCCCCTTTTCCCTTTCTTTTTTTTTCTTTCTCCTTTCCTTCCCCTTCTTTCCCTCTCCCCCTCTCCCCCCACTTCCCTTTCCTCTCCTCTCCTCGCCTTTCCTCTCACTCTGTCACTCAGGCTGGAGTGTAGTGGCTGGATCCCTGCTCACAGCAGCCTTGACCTCCCAGGCTCAGGCGATCCTTCCACTGCAGCCTCCCAAGTGGCTGGGACTACAGGCACACGCCACCACGCTCAGCTAAGTTTTGTAGAGTTGGAGTCTTGCTCTGTTGCCCAGGCTGGTCTCAAACTCCTGGGCTCAAGTAATTCTCCTGCCTCAGCCTTCCAAAGTGCTGGGATTACAGGCATGAGCCACCGTGCCCAGCCTGGACCATTGTTTTCAAGTACAAGTGCTGGTAGTAATGGGACAATGAACAGAAAACACTTATCTTAGGTTCAGAAGAAGGAGGTTCAAGTTTTTAGTGGGCACCACACTCTCATCTTCTTTGAAGACTATTTCTGCATCTATGGAATGGTGATGATTCCTACCTCTTACGGTTTTTCTGAGGATTAAGTGTGACATTTCCAGAAGTATTTGTAAAGTGGCAAGCCCTGTACAAGTAATTGACATGTTACTTGCCTGCGTTCCTCCTCCCCCTGAGGCCTTTACTCGTGATATTTTCTCCATATGGAATATGCTTTCCCTCTACAGTACCAGGGGAAATCCTAATTATTTAACATCTCTGAGCCTCTGTTCCTCATCAGTTAAACTGGGAAAATAATAGCTAGCTACAGTGAAGAGATAACATGATAATAAATGTGCACAATGCCTGGCCAGGGGAAAATGCTCGATAATTATTAACTATTACTATTCTTGCTTATTCTTCAAGGCTGGCTGGAATAGTACTTTCTCTGCCAAACCTTAACACTTCCAGGCATGTTATTATTATTAATTAGTCATTTTTAATGACTCCCTCCTCTAGTTCTCCTGGCCGATTATTCGTTCTTTTATTATGGCACATACTACATTTTGTCTTAATGGTTTGGTTACTCATCCATCTGGCCACTAAATATGACCTCCTTCAGGGCAGGAAGTGTGGGCCACCTGTCTTCATATCCCTAGGACCTGACGTTCAGTGGGTGTTGTGTAAGTGGCGAGCAGAATTTGAACGAAGACATGGTACATGGTAGCCAATAGCCCTTTCCCTCAGGACTTTCCTCCTCCTGCTCCTTAAAATTCTCTCCTCCTCTTCAGCTATGCTTGTTTTCTTTCCAAAGGGCTGAGACCTGCAAGTCAAGGCCTGAAGGGCCGCAGGGGATGGCAGCTGCTTAAGGGACCAGCTTACCACCTCCCACAGGAACTCTGGGAGGCCTCTGAGCTGGCAGAAAGGAAGGGCCCAACAGAAGTGAGCAGAACACAAGCTGGCGGCTACTTAGTCCAATGCTTGCTGACTTTCAAGGCAACACCTGGCCGCTTTCCACTGGCAGCTTGGGCAGAGGGCAAGTGTATGCCTTCTGGAGTACTACCATGCCCTCTGGGGAGAGCTGACACAACTGAGCGATCTTCCTCCAGGAACCTGGATCAAAGCCTCTCTCTCCAGCACTGACTGGCCTGCATTGGGCTGACTCTTGGTGTAACAAAGTTTGGTAGCACCTTGCTCACAGCACCTCGGCACATGCCCCCATCCCAAAACAGGGGCTGACAAGAGTCCTGGAGTTCAGGTCACTGCTGTGACTAGACCCTTTCTGAAATGATACTCCATGAAGATCCTTCTTCCTTTCCCCAAGGTCCTGTGTCCTTCCCCTCCAGGGCCCAGCCTTCTGTCTTAGTTCAATGCCATGGACAAATTAAAACAGTTCCCACCAGGTCATAAATCCTAGACTAAAAGGAAAAATCAGAACTTGGACTGGATGTAATGAGATATATATGTACAGTATTATGTACAATAACATATATACAGTATTAATGAGATACATATAATATTTAAGATGAATAAGTCAGATCTAATAGTGAGATAATGCATAATACAGGTATTATTAAATTACTAAACAGCTGGGTGTGGTTGCTCATGCCTGTAATCCCAGCACTTTGAGAGGCAGAGGCGAGGGGACTACCTGAGCTCCAGAGTTCAAGACCAACATGGTGACACATCTCTACGATAAATCAAAAAATTAGCCGGGTGTGGTGACACATGCCTGTAGTCCCAGCTACTTGGAAGGCTGAGGTGGACGGATCACCTGAGCCCAGCAGGTCAAGACTGAGGTGGCCGTGAGTGTGCCACTTCACTCTAGCCTGGGCAACAGAGTGAGACTCCAACTCAAAAATAAATAAATTTTTTTAAAAAGTTTATTTGCAGGAAGAGAGGGAAAGAGGAAGATTCATGCCAGAAAGACCTGACTTGGACAAGTTTCTCAAAAAGAAAGAACTGGACTACAAATTGTTCTTATCCCCATTTTACAGATGCGGAAATCAAGGCTCAGCTGAGACAGTTAAATCCTAGTTAGGAAGTGACAGTGCTGGGATTTGTACGTCTGACTCCTAAGCCCATACTCTGCCATCATGCTGCATTTTTTTTTGTTGTTTTTGAGTTGGGTCTCACTCTGTCACCCAAGCTGGAGTGCAATGGCATGATCATAGCTCACTGCAGCCTTGAACTCCTGGGTTCCAGTGATTCTTCCACTTCAGCCTCCCAAAGTACTGGGATTACAGGTACGTGCCATCATGCCCAGCCTCATACTGAACTTTTTTTTTTTTTTTGAGTTGGAGTCTCACTCTGTTGCCCAGACTGGAGTGCAGCAGCATGCTCCCGGCCACCGCAGCCTCAACCTACTGGGCTCCAGCAATCCTTCCGCCTCAGTCTTCCAAGTAGCTGGAACTATAGGCGTGTGCTACCACTCCCGGCTAATTTTTTATTGTAGAAACGAGGTCTCACCAAGTTGTCCAGGCTGGTCTCAAACCCGCGGGCTCAGGCAATCCACTCGCTTCAGCCTCCCAAAGTGCTGGGATTACAGGCTGAGCCACTGAGCCCAGCCCATGCTGGCCTCTTAAGGCAGTGGTGACTAATTATTTTTTGGTCATTACCCCACTGAGAATACAATGAAAACAATGCATCTATCTAGCCACTCACAAATGTTTTGTACTATCCATTCATGAACCAGTCCATAGACCTTAAAGAACTTGAATGACAGAGTTATGGGACTAACTGGCCTGGCTGGGGGTGAGGGAGCAGAATCCCTTTAGCCTCTAGGCCCAAGACCCACCAACCACATTCCCAACGCTGCTGGTTTGGGAGTGTAAACCCAGCCATTCCGAGGCTACAGTGGGAAATTTTTTTTTTTGAGTTGGAGTCTCACTCTGTCACCCAGACTTGAGTGCAGTGGCCACTCCTGGCCACCGCAGCCTCAACCTGCTGGGCTCCAGCGATCCTTCCGCCTCAGCCTTCCAAGTAACTGGAACTACAGGTGCACGCTACCACGCCCAGCTCATTTTTTGATTTCTTGTAGAAATTAGGTCTCGCCAAGTTGCCCAGGCGGGTCTCAAACCCGCGGGCTCAGGCAATCCACTCACCTCAGCCTCCCAAAGGTGCAGGATTACAGGCTGAGCCACCGAACCTGGCTATGTGGGAAATTCTTACCAGTCTCTGGGTAACTAGGTTCCTGGAATTACACAGGAAGGGAAAGGCAACCACCTTCCCTGGGGGCTGCTCCTTGATTACCCCCAGAGGGTAGTGACCTGGCCAGGATGCCAGCATGGTGTCCCCAAGGGTTACGGCATGCCGTTTGTGTAACAGCATTACCAATCAATCCATTGCTCCCTTGGCTGTCAGTTCAACTTCAGTCACCATCCCTACTTGGCTCCAAGACTCCTGGGCTCTGCTTCAGGTTCTGTCACGGGCTTGCAGTGGGCAACCTTGAGGCAGTTACTTAAGATGAAGAGGCTGAGGACAAGTGCAGATGATGGTAGACCAGTCCTCTCACCTGGGCTAGATTTTGCCTCCTAGTTAAGGGTGAGTTAGGGGTTTTTTGCCAATTTCTGACATTTGGCAATTGGTTGTCACAATTTAGGTGTGTCAGTTGCTACTGGTGTCTAGTGGGTAGAGGATGGGGTGCTGATAAACACCACACACTGCACGGGAAAGTCCCCTCCACAAAAATGAATTACCTGCCCCCAAAATACCAAGGTTGAGAAATCCTGTGACGAAAAGGCCTTGACCATTGAATAAATGTCAGATGGGTTGGGATTGGAATCAATGGCCTGCTGTATGACCTTGTGCAAACCTTAGATGAGCCAGTACAGAGTTTTGGAGCCAACACAAGTTTTGGAGTTTGAATCCCAGCTCTAGTAACCAGCTGGGTGACTTTAGGCAGAATGCCTCACGTCTCTAAGCCTGTTTCCTTACCTATAAAATAGTTATTATATAGAGATGCTGAAAGTTAAGCATGGAAAGCACTTAGCACTATGCCTGACACATGAGTGCTCACATGTTGGCCCATGTTAATACAATTAACACCAATCTCCTGCTTTTTCCTCTTGGAAATTCTGTAGCACATAGCTTTTTGGGGGGGGGGGATTAGAGTCTCACTGTGTTGCCCAGGCTGGAGTGCAAAGTGCAGTGGCATGCTCACGGCCACCACAGCCTCAACCTACAGGGCTCAGGCGATCCTTCCAGCCTCCCAAGTAGCTAGGACTACAGGCAAATGCCTGTACATGCCACCACACCCAGCTAATTTTTTTATTTTGTTGTAGAAACAGGGGTCTTGCTATGTTGCCCAGGCTGGTCTCAAGTGAGACTCCTGCCTCCACCTCCTGAGCAGCTGGGACTATAGGCATGTGCCACCACACCTTGGCAATTTTTTTTTTTGGTAGAGATGAGGTCTCACTATGTTGCCCAGGCTGGTCTCAAACTCCTGCGCTCAAGTGATCCTTTCACTTCCACCTCCCAAAGTGTTGCAATTACAGGCATCAGCCACTGTAATCGGTCAGTTACTACTTTCAAAACCATCCCATTTGAAGCAAGCCGTGTCCCTTAGCACCTCTGTATTAATTATGTGTCCATGGCTTGCTTCTGTTAGGGCTTAGAGAAGCAGCAGCTGTTGGATGTGTTTGGCTACATTTTACCTGGGTTATCATGCTCAGTTAGCGACATAGGCAACCCTATGAATTTTAAGGACAACGATTAAATCTGCTTTGCCATGAGAGACCTAGAGTGTAGGGAAGCAAAACTTTCCAACATCACAGAACTAGTAAGTGGCAGAATTGGGGGTTCCTCCCCAGGACAGCGTAAACCTTGGATCACAGTGTCATCCCATCTGTTTTGGTCATACAACAATTAAGATGGCACAGACAGGTCAGGTGCTGTGGCTCACACTTATAATCCCAGCACTTTGGGAGGCGGAGGTGAGATGATTGCCTGAACTCAGGGGTTCGAGACCAGTTTGAGCAACATGGCAAGACCTCATCTCTACAATAAATCAAAAAATTAGCTGGGCATGGTGGTGCATGCCTGTAGTTCCAGTTACTTGGAAGGCTGAGGTGGAAGGATCACCTGAGTCCAGCAGGTAGAGGTGCAGTGGCCATGAGTCGCCACTGCACTCCAGCCTGGGTGACAGAGTGAGACTCTGACGCAAAAAAAAAAAAAAAATCCATAGGGTTGTTGCAATAACAAATGTAAAACACTTGGTACAGAGTTTGGTGTGAATCAAACCCTTTACAAACGTCACACATTAATAAGTCATCCCAGTCATACGTGGTGTCTCGCGCCTGCAATCCCAGCACTTTGGGAGGTGGAGGTGACTGCCTGAGCCCAGGGGTTTGAGACCAGACTGGGCAACTTGGCGAGACTTTGTATCTACAATAAGTAAAAAAAAATTAGCCAGGCGTGGTGGCACACACCTGTGGTTCTAGCTACTTGGAAGGCTGAGGTGGAAGGATCGCTGGAGCCCAGCAAGTCGAGGCTATGAACTAGAAGGACGAGTAGCCGTGACTGTGCCACTGCACTCCAGCCTGGGTGACAGAGGGAGACTCCGACTCAAAACCAGTAATAATAATAATAATAATAGCCATGTCTTGGTATCTGTGGGGGATCGATTCCAGGAACCCCACTGAACACCAAAATCCAGATGCTCAAGTCCCTTATATAAAACGGTGAATTTGCACATAACCTATGCAACATCCCCCGCCCACTTTAAATTATCTCTAACGTACTTATAATGCTTAATACACAATGTAAATACTGTATTTAGGGAATGACAAGAAAGAAGTCTGTACACACATATTCAGTATAGATGCAACCATCCACTCTTCACCCCTAACGATTTTCTATCCGCAGTTGGTTGCGTCCATGGATACAGAACCCATGGATACTGCACTAGGGCCAACTGCACTAAATGTGAAGGGGAAAATGTAGTAACTATCACTGCTCAGACAAACCCACATTCTTCCCAGGAGCCGAGGAGACCCTTCCATGTTCTCAGTCATGGCAGTGCTACCTCTCAGACCTGAGGAGTTCCTAATCATCACCACCTGACCCAGTGCTCTCCTTCCACTCCCAAGGTCAAAGGACAGAGGCACAGACAAGAGTTTAGAGAAATGTTGTGTTTAATGGTAAAGCTTAACACGCTCCAGAACCGGCAATGGCGTGGAGTCGTAGCAGCAGGACGACTAGGTGACCCCCATGGAGCCTCACATGGCGAAGAGGATGAGGAAGGCGACCATCAAACAGAAGAGCCCCATGGCCTCAGACAGGGCAAAGCCCAGAATGGCATAGGAGAAGAGTTGCTGCTTGAGAGACGGGTTCCTGCCAGGGACAGAGATGGATGCCAGCGCAGGGAGAGGAAGGGGAGAAGGCAGGGGTGCGGGTGAGGACACAGGAGGGCAAGGTACATGGGGAGAGGTGTCTGGCCTGCACATAACCTGGGGATTTGGGTGGGCAAGCAGAGCACACCAGCTTGCTGAATTTAAGGGGGCCAAGATGGACACATATTTTCGCTGGAGCAACTAGGAGGGAGATGAATCCACCTGAAGGCTGCTCCTACCCATGAGGCTTCCCCCAAATAGGGCAGAGCTTACAGTGGGAGTCCACCCAGACTCACCTGGCATAGCCAATGATCAAGCTGCCAAACACCGTTCCGATGCCAGCCCCTGAACCAGCCACACCAACTGTGGCTGCACCAGCACCAATAAACTTGGCTGCTGTGTCAATGTCCCGGGAGACGACACTGGTCTGGAACTCCCGTCTGGCCACCTGGAGTGGGGAGCTGCTGAAGGAAGGCTAGAAGGAGAAGGAAGGAGGGAGGGGGGAGGGAGGGAGCAAGGAGATAGTGAGGCACAAGGACAGGTGGCTCACTCCACTCCCTCACTCCATACACCTGAGCTCTACTGGCAAACTGCCTGGCAAAGACAGAATGCTCTGACTACAGAGTATGCTGGGAATTCGTCTTAGGGTCTGCTTTCAGATAGGGTGAGGGAAATGTCATGGATTACACAAACCTCACTTTTACAGGTTTTTCACCTACAGTGCTTACTTGGTGGAGCTTAGAACTATAAAAGCACAACAGAGTCCCTATCTCTCCTCCCACTTCTGGTGAATGGCAGCTCCACCTGTAGGACTCCTATCTGGGAACACTCCTAAGGGGGCCCTTACTCCCTTACCTACCTGCTTAGATGAATTCTCTGGCCTATTCAGGAAGGAGGCAGACACAGGCCTGATGAGACCCCTGGTACAACAGCGGATCTGTAAAATCAGAAAGACACATTCCACAAATCAGGCAAGAAAAAAAATCCTAATGAGAAAAAGTCCAACGTATTTCAAGGTCAATTAATTTATTCTTGTTTCTACCACAGAGGCTTGCACCAGAGATAGCTGTTCTAGTGCAGTCAGCAGCCACCACCTTCACCATTCAAAACCATGTTCCAAAGTTCACTTCTTTGTCCATAGCCTTAATCAGTTTCCCAGAACAGAACAAGAACTCATACTAATATCATAGCAGGTATAGGAAGGGTTTATACCCAATTCCCAAAGTAATCAGAGGGAGGAAATTGTATTTAGCTAAAATGTACTCACTGCTACACACCCTAAATGGGGTAGGCCTGGTGAAGCTTTTAGAAGAGCCATCCAAGGAAACTCATCTATAACACGGCTTTCTTGAAATATTTTTTAGTGCAGTGGTTCTCAAACTTGGCTGCACATTGGAATCACCTGGGAAGTTCTAAAAGAAACAGATGCCTGGGTTTCACCCTCATTCCCAAAGTCTGATACAGCTGGACTAAGGTGCAGCCTAGGCATTAGGATTTTTAAAAGCCCCCTAGATGATTCTAATGTGCATCCTAGATTGAGAATCACTATTTTTAGTGGGCTGTCTGGCCACGGCCAAGTCACACCAGGGGTAAAGTTCAAATCCAGACTCTCTGACGACATCCCTAAGCCGAGATATCTTGATTCACAGGCCCAAATAAACAGGGGTTACCTTCATCACAGCCTACAGTCTCCCCAAAGAGCCAGCACCATCAGGACACCAAGCTCCTCTCAGTTCATTCATTAAACACTGATGGCGCCCACACCACACCTGGTGCGACAGAGTACCCCGGAGCCGTAGCTTACCAGAGCCGGAGAAACGAGTAGCGCCCCGGTAGCCTGCATTTTTCCAGTCTGCAGAGGGGGGGAAAAGGAATCACTCCATTAAGAGCCTGGCTGTTTGCTTATAGTGACGACCTTCGGTCGTCCCCTTCACTCCCGCCCTCCCTCCCTCCGTGGACCACGCTCTTCCTTGCACCGTGCCCCAGCTGAGGAGAGCCTTAGAGGTCAGAGGGACAGCGCGGCGGGTCTGCACGAGAATGTCATGGAGGTCGGAAGTCAAGGAAGGAGGCCCAGGCCCCAGGAGGGAGAGGTTGCGAAAGCGGACGGTCTCCTGGGAAGACTGGAGGCGGATACTGGGCATTTGTCAAGCAGGATCCTGCCCATCTGACGCAGCTGTCCTCGGCTCGCCCCAGTCGGGGCAGTTAATCGCTCAATACCGTTGGTAATTAGCATTAATTGATAAGGCGATACATATAGACCCCCCATCGCCTCTGCCAGCACTGGGGGCGAATACCTTTCCACACAGCCCAGCCCGCCACCTGCCGAACACTGGCTTCCGGCCCCAAGTCACCTGCACTCCTGCTCGGCCACAGCGCTCGCCCGGCTCAAGGTGACTGACTCACCCCGCAGCTTTAGCCCTTGGTCTCAGCGCTCAGCTCCCCCACCCACGTGGAGGGGGCCCTTCCACTCCCATTGGCCGCAATAGCCACATGTCTCCATTGGTCAGCGTCATCGAGTCCTCCTTTCGTATTGGTTTCCCGCCGCTTCTTCCTCTCTTTCTACAGGAGCTTCGTGGCAATTCCCGCCTCCCTGCGGATAAAGGCGGGGTTTACCTCCGATATCTGGATTACGATTGGTCGGTCCCTGAAACGCTCGACCATAGAGTCGGCGGGATTCAGAGGTTCTATAACCTCCCGCACAAAATGGTGGAGGCCGAAGAAAAAGGCGTGGGAGAGATGACCGGACGCGTGACGCAGACAGACAACGTGACCTTGGCCCTGAGCCCTCATTCGGGCCCCGGGGCGCGTTGCATGTTGGGATTTGTAGTCAAATCAGAACCCCTAAGGACCGCTGAGATCCCGCGAGACGTTGCTCCCGAGGCTGGGGGAGCTGACGCCCTGCAGTAATTCCCACCCTGGTGATTTGTGGAAACCGATGTTTCCGCCATGGAGATTTAAGGCCGGCTGGAAGGTTCCCAAGTAGTGATCTCGTTTCTGTGGTCCTCTGCCGGTGGTCAGCCGTCATGAACTAGCAACCAGATGTTTTTTAAAAAAAAAATTTTTTTTAAATACTGTAAAAATAAAACGGCAAGGATAAAACAATACCCTATAGAAAAACGAGCAAAGGCTAGGAACAGGCGATTCACTGAGGAAGAAATACAAATTAATTGTAGGAATGTTCAGCCTCACGAATCAAATCCATAAAAGTTTCAGCGCACCAATTCCCACTGCTCCGAAGAGCAGAGTTTTTATTACTATGAGCCACGCCCTTTCCTATATTGCTGGTGAGAGTTTGGATTAGAAAACGTTCCTTGAAAGCAGTTTGGCAATATTTATTTTTATTCAAAGGCTTTGTATGGTCCATCCTCTTTGACCCAGTAATTCTTGAGTAACAGAACCTTTAAGCTCTCCATCCACTTTGGCCCAGTAGTATCACTTCTAGGATTCTATCCTAGACACAGTGTCCGGCTAATTTTTTGATTTTTTGTAGAGAAAGTCTTGCCATTTTTCCTAGGCTGGTGCTGAACTCCTGGGCTCAGGCAATCCTTTTGCTTCAGTCTCCCGAAGTGCTGGGATTACAGGCGTGAGACACAGCGTCTGGCTAAAAATTATTTTAAAGGGATGTGCATTGCAGAGTTTATAAAAACTGAAAATAAGTAAGTGTTCCACTGATGATAAAAAGTGAAATAAGGCTGGGTGTGGTGGTGTGCACCTGTGGTTCCAGCTAATTGGAAGGCTGAGGCAGAAGGATCACCTGAGCCCAGCAGGTCAGGCTGCGGTGGCCACGAGCATGCTACTGCACCCCCCCAGCCTGGACAACAGAGTGAGGCCCTGACTTTAAAAAAAAAAAGAAAAAAGAAAAGAAATTATGGCATTTTCACTGGAGGAAATAAACAGAAATAAAACATGAAATAAAATCATGTTTTTGAACAGTATTTTTGTAGCGAGAAGATTTTTATGATGCAAGACATGAAAAATGCAAAACCGTATAGCATTGTGAAAAATGTATGGGAGAAAGAATGAAAGAAAAAATATTTTTTTTAGATTGAAAAATATAGTTTATATAGAAAGTAAATTAGAGAGGAAGAGAAGATTCACCTCCCCAAGGCAGGGAAGGGAACCAAAGTTTAGGAAACATTGCGGACGTAGCTCAAAGAGTCACATGGATCGACCAGAGTTTAACAAAGCAACAGCCAAAAATTTTAAAAAATTAGTAGTTAATTCTGGAGGGGGCAATACAGTTGGTTTATATTTTTATAGTATGGATAAAATTTATCATAAAAAATAATAAAGCTGGGCTCGGTGGCTCAGCCTGTAATCCCGTGCCTTTGAGAGACTGAGGTGAGTGGATTGCCTGAGCCCGCGGGTTCGAGACCACGTGGGCAACTTGGCGAGACCTCATCTCTACAATAAATCAAAAATTAGCCGGGCGTGGTAGCGCGCGCCTGTAGTTCCAGCTACTTGGAAGACTGAGGCGGAAGGATTGCCGGAGCCCAGCAGGTCGAGGTTGCGGTGGCCAGGAGCGGCCACTGCACTCCGGTCTGGGTGACAGAGTGAGATTCCAACTAAAAAAATAAAAATAAAAAATAAAAAAAAATAATAACACTAATCTGGAGTCAGAACTTTGAACTCTTAGAAAGATATTTTAAGATTATATGGGCTGGGTGCAGTGGCTTATGCCTATAATCCCAGCACTTTGGGAGGCCAAGGTAAGCAGACTGTCTTGAGGTCACGGGCTCAAGACCAGCCTGGGCAACTTGGCGAGATCTCATCTCTACAATAAATCAAAAAATTAGCCAGGCATGGTGGCGTGCTACCGGCCACTGCAGCCTTGACCTGCTGGGCTCCGGCAATCCTTCTGCCTCAGCCTTCCAAGTAGCCGGAATTACAGGCGTGTGCTACCACACCTGGCTAATA